AGATATTTAGGATTAAACTATTAAAAATAATTTAAATAATATTATAAATACGAGTAGTTGTATCACAAAGAGACCCAATACTACAAGCCAACTGAATCAGATTTAAAACATAAAAAACATATACCCATAACATTCTAAAAATTAACAAATATTAATCTGAATTATATTTAAATCACGAAGGTGTTGCGTATATTAATCTGAATTATATTTTGTTATGTAAACACTGAGGTCGTTAGCTTTGATATAATGAGACGAAATGAAAGTAGAAACTATATTTCCGTGTTGCGATTGAGCGCCCATTAAAATGGAAAGTCTTTCTCTTCCGATCATTAGTCTGATAAAACAATTTTTGTCCATCAAGAGATTAAGTAATCTATTTAAAAAATAATATTTATTGGCTTAGAAACATTATTAAATGGCCAACTGAAATAGTTATTTATGTATCAAAGAAATTATAAGGGTGTTAATTACCAAGGACAACATTTCTGACGGAGAAGATGCCTCAGAGAAAAAATAATTACTCGAGGTTATTAACACTTTATAATTTCCGTGGTACATAGGTAATTTGATACTATTCTTACTGAATTTAGTATATTTTGTCCCATTTTAAAACGACACAAATGTTGCATTTATTAATCTTCTTGTATATTTGTATTAAAGCTGCTGGTATTAACATTGTTTGTTGTCAGATTGCTATTGTATTAAATAACCTGTTAATAAATTGACGGTTGTTGGCAATCGAGTTCAGTTTTTTGTCAAAAAACGCCTTTTGCACGAATTCGGCTCATATTTGAGTACGTCTCCATTAAAATGAAGGAAATATTAAAAAAAGCTGAAGAAGCACGACAAGCCTTACTTCCATCTAAACGTGAATCCATTTACCAAAAGGAATATAAAAAACACATTCAGTGTTAATAAATATAAGAACAATATTATTAGTAGAACAAAATACCTTTCTAATATTGCTCTACATTCATTAGTGAGAAGAATTTTACCCTTTCTACTACCAAATAATAATAAGGTCATTTCTAACAAGGAAACTAGAAGATGTACTAAAAATAGTAGTTAAAGATAGTATGTACTAGTAGTATAACAAAATTCAACTTTTTGAATATTTTATTTATAGTAAATATTATACTATCGAATAAAAAACGGCGTCAAAGACGGCTGAGGAATGACAGTCGATTATTCGTAATGGCGTTTACTGCCAGTTGATCTTAAAAAGGGTGTAATTTATTTTAATTATAAGTAAGTAAAGTAAATGACATAATTATAATAACAAAATTAAAATAGCGTAGTTTAAAATTCGAGAAAAAATTTATTAATATAAATAGTCTTTTGGAAATAGATTAGTACCTATGTCTGGAAACGTTTTATCCTTTTTTTAATTTTTCTATATTTAGTATCAAATTTTGAGAAGTTTTATGTCAATTTTTAATAAATGACGTCTAGAGATTAACCTCGCCAAAATTATCATCGATCGTCATTTCCCAGCCGTCTTCGATGCCGTTTTTTTCCGGTATAAATTATGTATCTAATGTAATATTATTTATTGATTTTAGACACAAAAAGGTCATAATTTACGTACCAATCAAGCACAAAAACGTTCACCACAAGAAAATAATCACCAAGCATGTCAGCTACTCCACAATCGATGATGGCGAAGTAGTGAGTCATGGAGGTGGAGGAGGAGATGCATTTGGTCATGGAAGCGTATCCGGAAGCATATCGATAGGTCCCGCAGTATATTCGCATGGTCACAGTCATGGGTGGCATTAACAATAAAAAATAATTCTTTAAATTATGTAAATTTTCTCCGATATTTTGCCAGTTGTTTGACACAGTACCTTCTCGTAACTTTTATTTATGTAACTGTATATACAATATACAGGGTGGGTCTTAAATAGGTGCAAATATTTTCAGGGTTGGTAGATCTCGATAACAGAAACATAAAATATTTTGTCTTTACCGTTTTTCAAATATGTATAAATCCAGAATAACCGAGTTTATTTACTGTGAAAATTTGAGAACCACTGGAGTTTTCGTTCTTATAAATTCAATCTAGGACCTATATTGCCATATTATCAAGATATTATGTCTTTTAAATAAAAATTTTAAAAAAATCCAAAATATTTTTCAAAAATTCAAAATTTTCATTTTTTTTTCGCGAAAAAATTTTATACCTCTAAAAAAATGCACTTATTTAAGACTCACCCTGTATATAATTTGTTTTTAATGTTGTTAAGCTTTACGAATAGTTGTTAATAAATAATTTAAGAATTATCTGGCAACAAATTTATTTAATAAGAACAGAAGCCTATACTATACAGGGTGACAATTTCGACAGCATATTCTACCGAAGAAAATAAATAAAAACGTTCGTATAAATGTGTATCCTAAAATGCTTTGTTTTGGAAATACAGGGTGTAGAAGTTTCATTTTATTTCGATTCTTTCCAAATAAATTCCGAATTAATATCAATGTTTGAATGAAAATTTGTATCTGAGTGTTTTTTTGACATGAAAAGTTGATTTCGATGTCAATCCGACTTCTACTTGTTGGTAGCGCCACCTACATATTTTTTAATTGGTTTGAAGAATAATAACTTTTCGTATGTACCTGTATAAAATTACTGAGTGAAAAAATATACACTTCTGCCTGAGAAAGGCACTCCAAATGTCAAAAAGCTCCCAGACACCAATTTTGATTCAAATATCGACGGTAGTTCAGAAATTATTTGAAAAAAATCGAAATAAAAATGAAACTTCTACATCTTGTATCTCCGAAACGAAGAATTTTAAGACATAAATTTATACGAACTTTTTTACTTATTTTTATCGGCAGAATATGCTGCCGAAGTTTCCCGAATACAATTCGGACCAACCTGTATATTTTTAATATTGTTCATGTGTGAAACCCCAGTACCTCCACATGTATAATAACCTCATAAGTTACATTTTTTGCCGTTTTTTAAATAATCAAAAATTTTTTAAACAAACCAATACAAATATTTTTAAAATAACCAAAATGCCTCTTTAAAATAACCAACATAAATGCATAATAAAGTTTACTTTAAAAGTTAAAAATATAGTCTGTCCAACGACAAAAGCCTTGACAGTGATAGATGTGTCTGTGATTTTAATTTCAAAGTGGTTTAATTTATTTTACAAGTAAATAAGTTGGTACAATTGGAATGCAAAGCAGGAAATTAATATATTTCAAATTTTAGTCACAAATGATTACTTCAAAATATTATAAAAAAAAATCTGTATGAAACCAAAACAAATCTAATCGAGTTATTATATTCAAAAAAATATATTTTGAAGTGTATAGTAATACAAAACAAAGAAAAATATGTGTTAAATAAACCACCAAACACAATAAATATACATATAAAACAAAATTACGTCTTCCTTTCAAACTTCAAAAAACTTTCTGTATTCTTTATGATATTTATCCATATAAAGAGGCAACAAAGTAATGAGATTTTTGTATGTCCGGAGTGCGGAAGAGAGATAACATCACGTATCGGGCTTTTCAGTCACAGAAAAGCTCATGACAGAAAACGCCTTTCGTAACCATCTTCTGATGCGTGTCAAATACTCGTCAGCGAGTAATAGGAGTAGTAAGTTAATTTATCAATATAATTTATGCTCAAATAAAAAAGTTTTAATATTGCAGAGGAATATAGAAAACACAACATAAATAAAGAAAAAATAATATACTCAATTGTGTGATGTCTTTATTTGACAGCAACTCCAGTTATACAAAGTATAAAAAAAACATACAAAACTTTATTGGTAGCTTATACAACTCTACACTTATTTTTCCCTCGATTTTTCCTCCACTTAATTTTAGAAAACACAAAACACACGTAATAACACAAACCAAAATGCATTATCAATTCGCAAATGTTTGTCATTATCCAGAACACTGGTTATTTGACATAATTTGACAAGAGTTTGACAAGTTTGAAAAATCTTAAGTCAAATTCATAAGCATCAGCGTCTACGTCGTTCATCGTTCCGTCACTCGAATCATACTGAAATACGATCTGTCATTTTTAAGATAAATCAATAAGATTGGTTTAAAACAAGAGACGACGCACGACGGATTTATATACAGCGTCTCCCAGAAATAAGTGCAAGTATTTTAGGGGGTGGTACATCTCGATAAAAGGAACATATTTTCTCTTTAGCGTTTTTTAAATAAGTCCACAATAACGGAGTTATTTGACTTTGAAAATTACCAAAAAAAATAATTATATATAAAAAATAAAAAAATAATAAAATAATTTTGAGAACCACTGGATTTTTTCTAGATTTTCTTTCTTGTTATTTTAATCTAATACCTATGTTGCCATATTATCAAGAAATTATGTTTTTTAACAAAAAACTAAAAGAAAAATCAAAAAAATTTTGAATTTTCAATTTTTTTTGCGAAAAAACTTCATAGGCGTGTTTCTGGGGTTGAACTATACTACCAGTTAAAATAGTTGCACTTATTTCTGGGACACCATGTATAAATCCATCCATCGTTAACTTAAAAAGTGTCGTAAAACAGAGTATATTAAAAAAGTCTAAATAAATGAACAACAGATCTTGCATAAGGAATGAAAGTGATAATGAAAATTAAATTTCTTTACTTAAATCGCACTGTCAAGGATTTAAAGAGTCGCGACAAAACGACGATTATTTTATGGTTTTTAATATTTATGTTGATTTTAACCGTAATAAATCGATTTATACCCAATATATTATTGCCTATGAGAAAAAATTCTTGATCGTACAAGAAAGTAACCACCAACAGCTAAACATTTTTTGTTTGGAAAAATAAAATAATAAAGCTTATCGTATTACTCTGATTAACTTTGATATGGTATTAGAGCAAGAAAACCGCAATAAATGATTTTCGGGAGAAAATCGAATTCATATAAAATTATTTCGGCGAAATTTTCAGCTCACATTAAAGAATTGACTCCAAGAGTTATGTACCGGTGTCTTGTGTAATTATTTATTATTCCAAATTTTCAAACTAAGAGATTATGACAACATGAAATTAGATATACTTTATGTTATTTTTGTTATAAACATCATGAATGTTGCGGAATCAGGAGGTCATGGCAAAAAACAGTAAGTGAATAGATATTAATACTTTATAAAAAAATACACCTTATATAAATTTCTTATATTGTAAAATTGCAATTTATTTGAACAAAATACTATACCGGGTATTTCTCAAAAGTGGCTCACTCTATATCTTTTTTTTACATAAAAATCGAGATTTGGTACGTTAATATATAACATAATTCAGAATTGATTGAGGTTTTTAGTATTTAGTTGCTTTCGGTCACTTTATGTTTCACCGGAAATGACTACAACCGCTACAACTTTTGATTTTTAAATGTCATTCTTGTTTTTTTTTACTTTATGTCATAGAAAATGAAACTCTGAATTTAATGACTCGAAACACTAAGTGGCTATTTATAAAAAAAAGTGTGGTTATTTGTAAAAAATGCCTTTTTCAAATATGCTAATGAGCCACCCTCGTTCCATTTGAAAAAGTTGAGATATGATTAACAATACGATTTGGGCATCTTTTAACCGGCCAAGACAAAATACGAAAAACATTAGATGATCAAACCTATTTTCCAAGGCTCCTTGATTAAAAATTAGTGTTATACAGCTATGGCACGACTGTAGTTTAAAATACAATTTTTTTAAGGAAAAATGTCTAAAGTTGAGATATGATATATCATTCTATTCAGAGTGTACAAATAACAATAAGACAATAAGTAAAAAAATACCGAGGATGCCATTTAAAAATCAAAAATAGTAGCCATTTCCGGTAAAACAGGAAGTGAACTAAAGTAATTGAAAACGCCACATACATTTGTGACTTGGCGGTAAAATCAACAGGGGAGCCAATATTTAAACAGTTCAAAATTTGCATGCGATTTCCTATGTTTCCAACTACAATGCACCATCCGGTATTACAGTTGAGGGTTGGAACCTTTGGTGTTAAACAGCAAAATAAAAACACTAAATCACCACAATACACCAAAACACTTTTACTTTTACACTGGACGCGCGTTTCGCTAACCATGTTAGCATCATCAGCAGATGATTATAAACTCAAAAGTTTATAAACTTTTGAGTTTATAATCATAAAGTTTATAAACTTTTGAGTTTATAATCATCTGCTGATGATGCTAACATGGTTAGCGAAACGCGCGTCCAGTGTAAAAGTAAAAGTGTTTTGGTGTATTGTGGTGATTTAGTGTTTTTATTTTGCCATCCGGTATGCAAATCAAAGAGAAATGTATAACAAAGAATATAAACATTAACAAGTTTTATTTTCTTTATATTAATATAATTTATATATTGTTTCAGTGTTCACCTAAAAATTATTGTACCTGTCATTCATCATAAACACACTCATACCATTTATAAGAAACCCAAAGAAGAAAAGAAAGTTATTATTCATAAACACGTCCACGATCACGGGCACAACCACGGTCATAAGCACAAACATGGCCATAAACATAAGCATGATCACAAACACAAGCATATTAAAGAAGATGACCACCACGGAGGTCATGGATACCATGTTCATCATTCGAACCATGATTATGGACATGATTGGAGCAAGCACTCGGCAGAAGGGTACGAGGGATCATTTAAACCATCTCCGGAGTTGTCAGTTGATGATTTTGGAGCAGTTAGAGATTACAGTCATGCCCCCGTAACGCTTCATAGTGATGACGATTATCCGGTGTTCCATAAATCCATCACAAGTGAAGGTTTCCGTGTGACTGAAGCTAAAGGTTACACTGCTAACGCCCCCATAGATGCGCAGCTGGTAACTGGTGAATATCAAGTACAAGAAAACGATCCATATGATATAACGACTACCTCCTATCAAAGCGTGTATCCAGCATCAATACAAAATGAAAATGTCCACGAGATTCGTTCGAGTCACTCTCTAAGTGAAAATGATGACTACGAAGCTGAAATCAATGGTCAAAACAGTGATACTGAATACTATGATAAAGGTGGGAACGACTTGGTCGAATACGGCTATTCCGAAGACGTTGAACCATCTCAGAAAAGTAAAATTATTGTAGATAATCCTGGCTATGGTATAGCGGCTGCAAAGCAACTATGGACTATTAAAAACAACGGATAATACGATTAAAAATATTTATAATATAGCTTTTCAACTCCTTTGTAAATATGAGAGATATATTATAATTATACATTATATTTCTAAATATTATTTTTTATATTTTTAATAAATTGATATATAGTTTAATGTTATCTTCGACTATTACGATTCGTTCATTTGAACAAACTACATACACATTTTACGTATCACAGTATAAATAGATATTTATTTGTAAATAACTTTCACATCGCTTTTATTTTATATCCATGATGTTTGTTTAGGGCTTCTATTCGAATCTATTGATGTCCTACTACAAAAATTCGCATTCTTTATAATTATGAAGACGGCATAAATTATAGTTTATTTTATTACAAATATATATAACTAGCGTGAACCAGCGACTTCGTTCGCGTCGAATTAATCATTTGTAATGGTGATGATAAAGCAAAGCAAGAATTTCCATTAACATACAAACTGGATAAAATTTTCTCACATTTATGTATGTCAGAATGAGAAAAAACAATATCACGATATTATTATATAACTTGGTAATATTTGAGGGGTAGTTTCATCTCGTTGGAATTTGACTTTCGAAAAATCCGTTTGCGAAAAATAAGCTTTTTACGTCAAGCAGTTTAAGCAGAATCGTGGTTAAGAAATTACCCAACTTTTTGGAACACCCTGTATGGTTTTTTAAAAAATTTCAAAATATGTAAAAAAACCAAATAAATTATGCTTGGCCAAGCGTTTTCCCGAAAGACTAACCGTTTTTTAAATAACAAATATTGTAATATTTGAGGGGCGTTTACACCCTCTTGGAATTTGAGATTCGAGAAACCCCCCCTTATCAAACCTCTACACCCCACAGTCAATCCGTTTACCAAAAATTTTACCAGCTTTAAACGTCAAGCAGTTTAAGCAGAATCGTGATTACTCAATGGTCATATTTTATGAAACACCCTGTATAAATTTATAAAAAATCTTTAAATATATAAAACAACAAAATAAAATATACGTGTTTAAGAGTTTTTCCGAAAAACTCACCGGTTTTTAAATAAAAAATATTTTAATATTTGAGGGATAGTTTCACCCCCTTAGAATTCGAGTTTCGAAAAATCCCTTCTTATCGAACCTTTACACCCTAAATTCAATCTGTTTTCCAAAAATTAGTTTTTTACGTCAAGGGCTTTAAGCAGGATCGTGATTAATCAGTATGTCAGTCACTTAACGATTTTATATATTAGTATAGATTGGTCTAATAGAACATAAAATATTATATATTATTGCTAAAAGAATAATTACTGATCATTGCTATTAGTAAAAATATATACACAAGGCTATTACCTGTATTACAGATATTTTGGGTACCCGAGCGCGTAATATATAGTTCTAATATTTATTTTTAAACGAACCTAAGCAAGGAACGAGTCTCATTGTTATCCGATTCAAATCTTACGACTCTTTTTTACGACTCGTTTTTCGACAAATTTTATGGATCCGTGCTGGCCATGATCCATATTAAACTGTAATCTGGGCAGTGATCAGATTCAATTTTTACGACTCTTTTTTACGACTCGTTCGTTCAAATGTTATGGATCCGGGCTGGCCATAGTTCAATTGAACAAACCGTATTCTTAGAGGTGAATCGAATGTCACAATTAATTTGTTATACTCATTCAAATGAACGACTCATTCAATCTTTGCCCATCTCTACTACCTATTTAAGCAGCAATGATGAGTAAGACCAAAACTAGCATTTAACCTGCAAGATCAAGACGATGACCCCCCTTCCAGTGCAAAACTTACACATGTCCAAGACAAAGCATGCAAGGCTCTTGCGGTCTTGCATTTATTTATGAATTATCGCTTGACAAATTTCTTTAATTTCGACAGAGACTCACAGATAGATCATTAAAATCTTATGGTACTTCTAGTAGTTTTAGAAACTTCAAATTTTGGATTTTATGTACCTTTAAGCTTATAGGAAAAATCTCGAAATATTCTTATAGATTTAAAGTTAGGTGCCTAGCCGCTACCCCTAACTGATTTTCCAGTCGACAAAATATTAGAAAACTTGAACAAATTATCAATCTGATATTTCTGATTTTATTTATATATCAATGCAACAACAATAATTTAAAGTTTATGAATTTTATTGCTAGTCAAAGTTCTTTAATATTATTTTGAGAGATGTAAACATAGAATAAAAAGTCTCGTAACGCAATTCTTCCACTAGGAAAAGTTGTGAGATCTCATGTCAATTTTATTATAAACTGATAATATCCATATTAGACATCTTTATTTCTGCCATAATTATAATGACTTGGCGATTGCACGATATGATATTCTACTGGTTAAAAAACTTTATTCTTAAGTGCATTGTTTAGATTTACTTAGTTATCGAAATGGTAGATTATTCTTTTCTAATTATTATGGTACCGTGCAATTGCCAGGTCATTATAATTATTACAGAAATAAAGAAGTCTAATATTGATACTATCAGTTTATAACAAAATTATTGAATAGGTGCTCCAACACAAACTATGGAGTGTAGAGATGAGGAGAAATATCTCTTATGGGACTTTATTTAGAAAAGTGGTCACAAAATTGGGAAGAACAAGAGGTCACCAAATAATCACAGTGGCACTAATGACGCATAAATCTCAAAAATGGAAAGTAACCAAAGATAAGAAAATAAAAGTAACATAACCAAACATTACCCCAAAAAGCTTTGTTTTTATTTTTTAGAATATAAAACATTTATTTTTTATATATTAGAAGCTCAGTCTATTGCTGCTGAATAAAAATCGATAATTTATTTCATGTGACATGGAAATAAAATTTGTATTTTTTTGAAACCCGCACCTTCACATCAAATATGTATCTCTTTTGAATCATTTCCTGTTCTAAAAATTTTGGCGCATATTTTAAATTTTAGGTTTTTGCTACAGCAGCGCCATCTTAAGTCTTCCCTTTTTTATGACCAATTTTAATGCACGAAGATATTTCTCTTTACCTCTACACTCCATAATAGAAACTAAAGAAAATAAACTGAATTGGTTTTACATGAGATCTTACATTTTTTTGTAATGGAAGAATTGGGTTGCGAGACTTGGCATTTTTTACAGGAAAAAAATTGTATTTGTTAAAATGTTTTTTAAGGAATTTAGATTTTCAACTTAATATAAAATCATAATGAAAAATCGTTGCCTAACGTTTTACGGCTTGTGATTTGAGCCGTTATATTTTTGATTAGCGGTCAACCGAAGACTAAAGTGATCAAGGGCCGGCAACGTGGAAGGGTTGCGGGCCATGTGAGCTTATATAATCATCTTTCGGCGCCATCCGGTCACATTCCTAGAGTTATCTCCGATAGTGTTGCAGGTGTTGCACTTACACCACGCTCTACGTCGTTTATAGAGCGCTCAATCGTTCTCTGCTTCCGTGATTGTTTTTCTCTCAACATCATGACAGCCAATCATCTGATTGTAAGTAACTTTTAATTGGATATATAATTTCCTGGGGTCTCCTGTTTCTCTAACATCTATTTTTTTATTAAACCTTAATGATAGTAAGGGACTAATTAGATATTGAGAGCAAAGATATGTTTTTTGTTTTAAATTGCGTGTAATTCATTTAACTGTTTGACTATTTATTTTTTTATTGGATCTAAGAATTATACAGGGTGTGTCAAAAAGCAGCAAGCAAAAATATCTCGTACTTTTTGTAAAAATAACATTAATTTTTTATATCAATATACGTCGATTCTCCTTCGTTTCATAGCTACAGGGGGTAAAATTTTTCTTCGATTTATTATAATTTTTTAAGTGCTTTTTAACTTTTTAATTTAGGCGCTTTTTAGTAATTCCAATGAAATTTTGAGATAATACATATTTTAATGGTAAGAAATATCCACAGATTCATCAGGGACGTGTATATTGTATATGGGTTATTACTGGAATATTTTTGAAAAAAAAAACATGTGCGCTACTGACTTTTTTTCTTTTGATAGCAAAATTGTGTAGGCCGTTTAATGCAAGTTTTTTTAGCACCAGATATTTTGTCGATTCCGATCTCCTCGATTTTTAAAATTTTATATAATTATTATAATATAATAAAAAACGCAATTTTATTAATCAAAAAATTAATATAATTAAAATAAAAATTAAATTAAAAAATTATTTATTTTATCTAATTTATTATTAAATATTATTACTATTAGTCCAACTTACCGCAAATTCAAATAAAAATGTAACGGTATTTAATATAATCACAAAAGACCAAATTTTAACATCCTCTAACTTTAAAACTATGCATTTCCATACCCATGCTAAGTAATAATTTAATTTGTGGTTGCTATTAGACTTGAATCAAGGCAAATTAGTAAAATTGCGTTTATCTCATCAAGGAGGCTGAAATCGACAAAAGATCAAGAGACAACTTTTAATCCGCATTAAAGGATATACACCACAAGAGAAAAAGTCAATGGCGTACATGCTTTTTTTAGAATAAAACATAAAACATTCCAGTGATAACCGATATACACGTCCCTGGTGAACATGTCGACACTTTTTTAGTATTAAAATATGTCGCATTTATAGTAGCTTGTACCCTCAAAAGTTCATTCGAATCGCTAAAGGTACTTGGAAGAAAATTATAATAAATCGAAAAAATACTAAGATTTTAACACTCTGTAGCTACGAAATAAAGCAGAATCAGATCTATGTTGATATGAAAAATATATCTTATTTTTACGCGAGGAATTTCCCCTTAGATTAAGAATTTCCCCACGAGAGATGGAGCTTCTTTTTTTAAACACTCTGTATATAAAAATATACAGAAATAACAAAAGGACAAAAAGGGAAATAATTACGGATATGAAAATGTCATCCCTTTATTTAACATATACATATGTAAAAATTTTTGTAATACAGTAAAATATTTAAAATTATAGTATTGAAAAAAAAACAAAGATATAACAAAGAGAATAACACTAATTAAATACAAAATAAAAATAAGTTACTGAAGGAAGGAAATACAATTATAAATAAGAATGTACAAAATTATTAAACTCTAGGCTGGCTAGTAACAAATAATTAATTTTATCGTATTAAATGATCAATGTTATGCTTAATATTTACTTTAGACTTTTAGAAAAAGATAATTCAATTTTTTTTTATTTTTAAATATTCTAATACTGAAGCAGAGATCTGAAAATCTTTCTGTTTCTTTCTTCGCTAGATAGAAATTTAAATTTAAAATGTCGATTTCATTCTAAGCCGACAGGCTGGTCTGATTAACATGTACAAGAAGGACGATAAAATATATTCAATGCTGGACTAACACCTGTATCGGCTTCGGCAATGTCAAAGAATGCAACAAGTTAACGCTCGAAGAGTTATATAAATTAGAGGGAAATAGAATACGCTTGAGAAAAATTTTTGGAAATGAAACATATATTTTAATTTAATATTAATTTCCTATCAGAAGACTAATCTTACTACTTTATTTGCATTTAGTGTGCTAACGAAAATAAGTAATATTTTAATATTAACATACATACGTTATTAAAACGTTAATTATATAACGTTAGTATGAGAAATTACAAAGTATAAACAATATAAATTATATCATAGACATTTCATATCCATTAGCGTAACTAGCAATTTATCCTGGGGTGGGCTTGGGGGTTGGGGGGGGGGGGTTGAGCCCAGGGGGGGCCTAGGGCTTTTGTTTTTTTAAAAATGAAAAATAATTTTAAAAAACACATTTTTTGAATGAAACGTTTACATGAATTTATCTATCAATAAATTTCATAGACTTATTGGTTATCAAACCGTATTCCGCAGTGGTACTTAAATACCTACAAAGATAGTAGATTACTTAAATACCTACAAATTTTCTAAAAAAATAAAAATTAACTCATTTTTTGAACACAACAAAATAAAATTAACTAAACAAAACTAGAAAACGTCATTTTTACTATATATATATATATATATATATATATATATATATATATATATATATATATATATATATATATATATATATATATATATATATATATATATATATATATATATATATATATATATATATATATATATATATATTTATATATAAAAATTAATACGCAGCCAAGAGTCATAATTCAGGATTTCTCTGAGGGTTGCCCAGCAGTACCTGGGGGGGGGGGCCCGTCACCCCCGGGCTCCCCTGTAATTACGCCAATGTTCATATCTGAAAACCAAAAGAAAATCAGCACCTGTTTTATATAAAAAGAATCTAAGTTTGAAATAAGTGAAATATTTTAAGCTCTTTCTGCTGCTATAGGCTTGGTGTATTTCAACAGATTATTTAAAATTCCGATAGCAGCGCTCGGTACGGCAGAAATCAGAACTATCCGGAACTAACGCCGCGCCGTCCCGGTTACCATTTATACTGATCACATTGAAATAATACCGATTGAAATCGTCTGTCATAATATTGAAATAAGTTTCTTTTTACTAGTGCAGTTATTGAAACTATAAATTTCTCAGGTACGAAGTTTGTATGATGTATCACTGTTTCAGGTAGTAAGACTTAAGCTTCATTCTGAATCTCGCAATTAGTGGTTTCAATTACACTCTATACTTTTTAGTTTACGATCATTTAGGAGAAAACTAAAGCAAAAATCAACAGCATTCAACGTAATGACATAATGATTGACATAATGTACAAGTATAGTTTTTATTAATCTATTTTATCTATTATTTTTTTATCTATTGGAGTCACTATGGAGTACATCATAGAATTTTATTTTATTTTTATTTATTTACGCAAACTTAAAAATTGGTAGTATTGAGAGAAAGAATAATTATGTTTTATATATTAAATTGATGAGTCGGTCTCTTAATAAAGAAAAGTTATTTATTATTGTATCAGTAAAATCATCAGATTGGTGAAGAGCTGTGAAAAGATCTTTTTAGATTGAAAGTAAGGCAAGTGGCGATAAACGTTTATTTTTCATGGAATCTCTACTATAAATTTTAATGCATTTCAAACATGAAAAATGTCTCTCAACCCAAGTACTTCTAAAAGGTGTAGTAACAAACAAAACAAACAATTTGAAAGCCTCTGGAAATATATTTCCAGGATTATTCTCCTTAAATTATTTTATAATCGAAATAATTATCATATCTATTATTAACACCTGCAATTTATTCATTAATTGTTGGTCAATAACATTTTTTGTTTGTTAAATTACTATTAAATGCGTTGGAAATGTATCAATATAACAAGTTTGTTAAATCAGATGTTAAATGCATTGGAAATTTTTTATAGAATTCTTTAAATTTCGGATCCGCAAGAGATAAATAAAAATAATTGAGACATACGAGTACCTATCTGCAAACCTTATTTCTAAATGTATAACAATGTTATCTAATATTTCATAAAATAAAATTCGCAAAAGATATTTGACTTAGCCGCTTTTACTAACATATCGAATTGAAATAGCAGAGAGACTTTTCTGTAATATCTGTTGTATCGTCTTCTGGCATCGAATAAAATAACGCGCTTTTTTTTAGATTATTTTATTTCTGTGGCGTGTTCTGAAATACAACCGGTTATATAATTTTTAATAATCTCGGACAAGTCCGAAAAATGTTTCCAATTTGCTTTAAACATTTTTTGAATTTTCATATAAAAGTTTTAAATGCTACGTATAATGAATCATATGAAATATCCCCTTAACAAATGAATCTTATGAAATATCGGTAATATCCCCTTAACTTCTAAGCCTCCCGAGCCTCCACGACTTTATGCGAAGGCGACCGGAGATTTCGCCTAAGCCCCGCCTTAATACGATACAACTCCGACTTACGTCGCGTCGCTACCGCACGATGAGTTAGACAGAGATAGAAGACTGCCGTACGTCGTGCATCGACTCTGATAGTAGGCGATGTAGAAATCGCCGAACAAAGGCACTCCTACGGTCAAAATTATTTTGTTTTCTAACGCAGCGGCACAGTCAGCGTCAGCGTACGCCAGCAGTAGTGAATATGTTAATATACAAGACCACACATATTAAAATAGTATTGATTATTAAAACACACTTCCGTGTATTACAGTATTTTTATGTATTGGCAACATTAATAGCTGTGTTAATAGTAAATAATGTAATGTAATAAAACCGCTTAAATTCTGCCAAAATGACCTACCCTGACGAGCCGCCTCTGATAGAGACAGCCTAATATTTAGCTTATAAAACAATCAACTTTTAATTTCTATCCACAATTTCTCTTGACGGATGATAATCAAAGGCCAAAATCACATTCTTCGCAAGTTTTGAAGTATAGTTAGTGGAAAAGTCAAAAGTTTGTTAACTTTTTCTATTTTTTAATTGAAAATGACTACCACTAATTTTGACGTTCTGAATGCTTACACTGAAATAAGAGGAACAAACTTCTACCTTAATTTTTAGGGGTACTATTTTGATCCCAGA